TGTTAATCTTCCAAGAGGAAAATGCATCAAATTATAAAGCACACCTTTAGTTATAAATTTCACGAAAGAGTATGTTAGGCGTGGGGGAAGCTTGCTCTTTTGAAAAAAAAAAAAATGGAACTAATAGGTAACTAAACAAACCAAGTGATAGACTCTCAAAGGGTCCTGAAACGTACCGCCAAACTTAAACCCCTTAAGCACGAGTAGCAGCTAAGATTCTACAGTTTATGAATGTAATCCTGCGTGACATCTTCTCTGACATTAGGTAGTATTAAAGATTTCCTTCAAGAACAGTATGATATTTAGGCGGTGTATGGAAGTGTATGAAAAAAGAGCATATGGTGGGATAATTTCAATTTTATTCAACATTACATGAACCATGTCACTGACTGAAGTAAATAAATGGTGGCTTTGATGAATCATCAATAGATTTCTTTTCCATTGTAGTGATTGAATACCTTTATAAATATAAAGTCAAGCACAAATTTCAAGAAATAGAGATTAAAGAAGCATTAACTCTCAGTTTGAGAGTGAACGCACTGTTTTAAACTTCAAGGAAGGGGCTTGACCTCAAGCCTTATGGAAGACCATGCGTGTTAAAACCGGATGGCCAACTTTGTAGGCGTACAGGTAAATTAATGAAACCTAACAAGCACCGACTCTTTAGTTGGTATTACATTTTCATAAAATCAGGCCCCCTATAGCTATGAGCATTATTTGGGCAATGTTTCTTGCACCTCGAAACAGAAATGTTAATAAAGAAAGTTATTTTAAGCACAGGGTGTTTTCCACAGACGCTTTAAATTTGCCAGAAGCAACTTTAATAGAATATAGGCTCAATATCTCATGTGACATGTAATTGGAATTGTGCCACCAGTTCTTAATAGAATTAAACTTATCACAAGCCATGGGGTCAGAGCTTTAAAGGTAGAAGAGAATTTTATAGGGCAGTTGAAAATCATACTCGTGCTTGCTTCAAGTGAAAGTAAAAAACTGCAAACTATACCAGCTCCACTTTGTATGAAGATCGTGAAGCTACCAAAGTCAGTCGAGATTCAGCCCAAGTATAAAGTAAATTGTCAAAGCACCTGCAATGAAAATCTTGTTTGCAAGTGAATCTGACCTCCATGTTTAGAATCTTCATAGTATGTACGTGCCGGTATGCAACTCGATACTAATCTATTTTGGAACCTGCGTACAGAAAATTATTTCAGTTTCGGTTGGAGAGCAGTAAGATAACCTGATTAAAGAAAGATAACCTGCGACGCGACTTATACGATGTAACCTGAATATCGTCAAGCAATCATGTTCAAAATCGTATAAAGTCAAGCGGGCAGCCTTCCTAAACTGTATAGTTGTAATTGAGTGGCTTACTGCCGGCATGACGCACCCATTCTCCTAAGGCTTTGCCAATTGTGGCAAGCTGTGATCAGCCATTAAAATGAGTGAAGAGCACGCCTGATGGCCAGCTATGATTGTGCAGGCTCATGTATCCACGAGTGGTAGAAAAACAAATAAGAATAAAATAAATCACTTACGAATAAACTGAGGCAAAGAATACCTATCCTTAATTGATTGCTTTTATACAACTGGCCAAATAATTCAAAATGGGTTCCCTCGGTAGTTTTCATTCGTAGCTTGTGCCACGTATCTTGACATTTTTTAATGTAATTGTTTAAGACTCCTCTGGGACAATTTGTTTTATGCAGGTTATTCAATTTGTCTTTTTCAAAGGACTGCATGACTTGAATGAATGGAAACCTGCACCGAATGTAGTGCCTGATGAGCCCTGTCATAATTAAGGCTTTATCTTACATGTATAATTTCTTGATAAACATTTAATGAGCAACCATGAAATTTTATGTCTCTGAAACTGCTTTTATTTAGAAAAATTCAGATATAACCAGCAGTATTACGTCTAGCTGTTTATGTAGAGCAAATCTTGGCAATCTGTAGTCTACACGAAGACTCGTTCACCACGTTTCCAATCTCACAAACGGTTACTCAAACAAGTTCAATTCAAAATGATGTGACATTTTAGTCACAATACACTAGTCAAATTTATAAATTTGAACATCACCTCATGAATCGCCATGCATGTGTGTCCATGTTAGACTCGCTTGTGGTTTTCGTGCGAGTTTTACGTAGGATCTGCGTCACGATTAAAGAAGACGGGTGGATCATTTTGAATGTATGTTTTTGTTTCTGCCCTCTGTAGTGTCCTTTAGTACCCTTGAAAAGTTAAAATTACGACACGAAAGTCACGACACCTGCTTTGAGGAGATTAAGAGCCCCTCGAGTGATAAGTTAATGATAATTTAACGATTGTAAACAGGAACAACATGCTTTGGCCATGAAATAATTCCTCTTTCAGGGCACTCCTTTGCTGTTTTTAGATTTTCCCAGTCACCAAGCGGTATGGTATGTGACCTTGCATGCCATGATTGATGAATGCAACGCGGCCTCACGCTCGAGTCGAAAGGACACATTTAGCCATGGTTCCAAAAGCGGAAGCCTTTCCGCCATGCTTGGCCTGGTGTAGCTGGGGGCTCAATGACAGAATTTGCATAAATTTGCGGTCAAAGTGAAACGTTATTCTGCTCTGTTCTCGTTTTTCATGTAAGTCAAACACCTGTTAAATAAAGCTTCTTTATAAATAACACCACAAGTATAAATTACCGTGGCATGAGAAGCCATTTATCGCGTTAGCGGGTGACAAGTTTTATTCGCATCGTATCTCAGGATGACGCTGTGCGCTGCATCTAAGATTTCTTTTCACAGATTGCTGCCTTTAGTCTCGTAAAGACCATTAAAACGGCTTTTCTCTTTCTTCTACGGTTCTCAACCTGTGGGTTTATATAATTTTATTTGCAGGTAAGCAGGTGTAGGCTGAATGCGCCCTCCGGGCAGCATATTGATTATCGTGTAGATTTGAATTTCCGAAACGTGTTTGGTCGTGTTTTACCACTGTGCGTAATATATGTTATCTAGTAACGTTTTGTTCTAAGATGTATTGCATTCAACCAATGAAGTTTTGACGCAGTTTCTAAGTAACTATAATAACGAATCGAAGCCTCTCTCGGTATCTATGGCACTAAGCGACATTTCGCAGTGTCAACTGTCAGATATCGTACAATATAGCACGAGGCTTCATTTTCGCTTGTTAACGCCACATTCCTGTCCGTCCTTTCCTATTTTCGATATACAGTGCCCACTATCCGAAAATATAATGATGTTTATCTTAAACACACTGGTAGATGGTACCACATAATAACTCACACTCTTAATTGGATAACTAAAGCTCAAACATTAACTGACATGTCATTCTTAAAGGAGTTCTCTTGGGTGTTTTATTGGCAGTGATGTTGACTGAACACCTTTATTTAGTCACCAGTGTTGTTTCTTCAAGTCTGTGACTCGTCTGATTGCCACGAGTCACACAATCCGCGTATCAACAGCAACATTTCCGTGGTGTTCTCAAAGGCGGATGCGTTTTACTTCCGATGCTTTCGACACCGAACTTCTGTGACACGGCCTGAATTAGAAAGTAGCACAAACTTGGTAATTCAAAGGTGTTCGAAACATCTTCTTCCGCTGTTGGTTCACTGACCAAGTAAAAAGAACCGGATCCGCCATTGACGTCACATCCGGACTGTAACGATATACAGGAAATACGAAATGGTCTTTATCGTTGCAATATTATTGAAAGTGCTTTAATACAACAAGTTCAGAATAGGTTCTTTTGTTTTTACAGCAACGGTAAAATTAAAAACAGTGGGCGTTGGCATTGAGCTTAAGTCTTCCGGTGTTTTGCGAGGAGTCACGCGCGAACTGAACACGCTTTTTCCCCGCGTGTGACACATGCGAGGCGGCTTGTGGTATCGTGGATTCGACTTGAGCTACGTGTAGTGTAGTTTAAATTTCAAGCATGGCACCTACAATAGATGATTTTGGTAGCGGACAATAATAATCATTATGTCTTGTTGATGTTTTACAGTTAGATCAAGTTAGTTCCAGAGACCACCCATTTTAATTATGTTATCTTGAAAACTATTAACAAGTTGTCAGTGGCTCCCACGCATTTACAAGCAGCCACGCGACGCTCTTCGTTCCTAGCTATTCATTTACAAATCTTTTGCAATAAAGCGGAGTTTGGCTGCCTTTAAGGATTTTTCTGACTTGAAATGATAGTAACATAAACTCGTATAACCTTGCCAATGTTTCCATGATATGGCGTGATTGACTTACAAGGCCAAACTTGATTGCATCGATTAACGACTTGGTTTTGCCAAGTCAGTCATTTTCCTTTACGCGAAAATTTTCCGGGAGGAAGAAACTTCCATTTATGTGGGTGATGTCTTACAGAAACTGAAAGTTGCCAGTGTTTCTTGGAAATCTCCAACAGGTCCTTGCCTTTTTTGGGATTCATATCTACTAAATTGTGACAAAATTAAAGCGAATTTGCGTTTCCTTACCCTACAATTCTGCCCTAGGTTTCATTGCCGAGGAATCGTGCATTCAAGCTTCACGTTTCTTGGTCAGTCAAGTAATCTAGTTTCTATTTTCAGGGACTATAACGATATAACTAACCGTACCACTTTGGCTGACACGAATTCTGGCCCTGTGCTTTTTTGCACTGAAGCGAATGAGCACTTGGACATCAGCTCAGATGAGCTCTGGCAAAGTTTCTATATATGTTTGAGGCAATTAGTAGCCTATAATCATATCATGAACTGCGTGATAATTTTGTGCTTTATTTGTGATTAATCTTAAGAATCCGACCAAGACTTTGTAGCAAACTGCTATTTCTGATGGTCTTGCCTGTTGCTCCTGAAATCGTGAGGTATCTATTGAGCACATGCATAATCAGGTTTTCAATTGCTGAGTTAGCGTATACAGGCGCGAAATTTGTCAGAGGACTGAAAGCCGACTGAAACTGGCGGCCATTCGTGTAAACCTCATTCGTCATTCGAGGCGGAGCCGATGAAGAGTACACACACTGTTTTTAACACACTTTTTTATTGGATTTTATTTCTTAGTTTTCTACAATATATTTTACGCTAATTTCATAAAATCTGAATATTACTTTATAAGACCTTATATAAAATTTTTAGATAAATTTTCCTTAAAATATTGGCACAATTGAATTACTTAGACGATAAGAACATTTATTCCATTTCAAAATCACTTGTCCTTTTGGAAACTAACTACTTCCAAACCTGTTCCATCTCACACACACATGAACGAGATAGGTAACGAACGAATGAGTAACTTTTGTGAGAAACGGGCTTTGTAATGGGTTAAAATTCGAACACAACACGCTAACTAACACCACCCAATGTCTGACATGGTCAGAATCACTAAATTGTAACTTGGTCCTTTTCGTATTTTACATAGTAAATACTGTTCGCTTGACTGTCATCAGGCAAGCACTGTATCGATGTGATATGCTTTCTGGCACACACGTTTATGGCATTTTGCAGACTTGGTGGGGTGAATAAACTATCAACAAGTACTATTATTAACCGGGTAATGAGCTTGAACAGGGAAATAACATTGGTATGTTTTGTTTTCGAGCAGATACAACGGTTGTAAGTTGCTAATGTTTTTTTGTTCTATGATTGGGACGCCTAAATGTCCTATAAGATATTTTTCGTTGCCTATTATTCGATAAAATGTGAGAAAGCTACTCTAACAGACTCGATGTAAAAGGAAAGCATGGAAATTGACTCGGATTGGAGTAAGCAGAAGCCTCGAGATTTACCTCCACGCGCGCACAGAATCAACTGTCGCGCTGTTATCTCTTCTAATTATCTACCAGGAAATTTAAAATTAAATTTTGTCTTTTGTTTTTTTTTTCTGAAATTCAAATAACTTTATGTTTTTCTGATCGTTCTGCTGAATGTTTCGCGCATGAATTTCGCATGTCGGTACTAACTACTTAAATAGATATTGGTACTTTTTTCCTCTCTGATACACTCAGTCCTTCACGACCTACTGGTCCTTTCTCGTCGATTTGAAATCATGATTGTCACGTTATTTTTTAGTTCAATATCTTGTGGTGATTGCACTCTGAACAATACAGCGCTTTGCCGAGAAACAGTTAGACTACTACTGGGGTTTACTCGCAAATGTTCGTGGGAATCTGAGTGGCTTTTCTGTTGGTGTCGTTTTCGCGGCGTATAGTCCTTGCTAGAATCTCTCAGCTCTTTACCTTGGCGAACTGATAGACCAGTTTGCTGCGTGGCTTTAAGAGGATTCCCTTGGCGATGTAGGTTCTCAAAGAGCGAGCAAAGTTCTCATACTTCATGGAAGGCTTGTTTCGTCGACGCCCCCATAGTCGCGCCACTTCGCCCGAGTTGATGAACTTGAAGATGCCTTTCTCTTTATCCAACCAGTCGATCATGTAGGCGTATTTGTCTGGGTTGTCGAGAAGTTCCAGCAGGAACTGACAGAGGCGAGGGCGACCCGACTTGAACGTTGTCTTGTGATTCTTGTGCATAACAAATTTCCTCTGTTCTGTTGTTTTGAATGCGTTCATGCCATCAGCCCTAGAAGCCGGGACGCCTCGTATCATCCACGCGTGGTCCGGTGGACTGTCCACACTCGAGAAACTCGCGGGGCTGTCAGAGTCTCGCTCTAGCATTTGGGCCATGTCAGGTTCTTCCTTCTTTGGGTCGACGTCCCTAAAAAAACTGCCTGCGTTTTCGTTTTTAAACAGGCTGTTTCTCGGTCCGTTCACGAACGTTTTCTCGCGAGGGTTGTCGAGATGGTCGTACCATGGCTCGCACTCGTTCACGAGCTGTGCATCCCAGAAAGAAGGCATGAACACCTTGCATTGGCTGACGCTTTCAGCCATCTCTCTTCTGGTTCCTAGCTGGCAAACATTCTGCGCTTGGCTTATCAACATCTCGTCTAACTCGAAGGGTGTTTCTGGTTTGATGAGAGCCATTGCTTGTAGCACCGGAGGCCTCCACTCTAGGTTGTCCATCTGTTCTGGGAAGGAGAACGAATCGCGCGCGCAAAGGAAAGGATCTCGCGCGTGCGTCTGATGCCTCGTGTCACCCAGCTGCATACTGCACTGGAGCCAGTTTGAAACTTCACTGAAAGAGGTGTGACTTGATGGCTCTGATTGCTCGCTCTTGATCCGCAGATCTGGCTCGCTTTTGTACATTCGAGCTGCAAATAATAATAAAAAAATATGAACTGTTAAATTCTTCGGGTTTTTTTTTATCTCGTGAAGGTAATTACACCGCCATTTTGTGTCTCATTGGAAACAAGATATTGGCAAGTTGCCTAAAGATTTTTTGTTGCCTGGTTTCGTAGACGCCCCTTCATTTGGCGGGATAATTAACAGTGGCAGTATATTTTCTGAATTGTGTACATTTTGGTCGCTCTACTTTTTTAGGCCAGCTGGTTTAACCTCTCAGTCAATATGTAAATTATCACCTTCTTCGAGGCTCGGAGACCCAGCCATTAGCCTATCTTGGTCCGCGTGGTCGGCGCCTGAAAATTTAAAACACAAGTCCACTTAAAGGTGATGTTCACTAGAAAGTGAAACTAAATCCACCATGTGCATGCAGTGATAGCAATATTGTTACCAACTCGATTGTGCTGTTATAACACCACATTCACTTTCATAAAAATACTGAGTAGAAAAAAATAACATTCAAATTTATAGACCACGCTTCTCCAACAATATGCTAACGTTGCTATTTTTACCTAACCTTGCAGCGTCACCAAGTTTCTCGCATGGAAACACGTTTAATTTCTGTCCTTGTTTGTTATCTTTTTTTTCAATAACTGGAAAAATGGTGTAATTAACAGTTTACGATTGAAGCATTTTCTTGGTTAAATTTCTTGTTTAGTTTGCGCGTGGATCACGAATTGACATCGACAGTTGCGTGTATTTATTCGCCCGGCTTCAATCCTAACTGCTTTCAACTTCCGCTGTTTGGCAAGCGGTTCGATATTCAAATCATGCGGTGTCTGTGTTTCAGATATTATTCTTTTCAAGCGAAGGTTGCTGTCTGAATTTTTATCTTCCCACAGTAGAGAATGCGAGGAAAAACAAAACAACTAAAATAAAATGGGGACTTGTTAAAATTTCGCGCGCAATTACTCAACCCACGAGTTATCCTCCCCCACGCGTGTAGAAAGTCTTTCCGCGTTTACAAGATAATTACAACTTACAAGACAAAACTGAGCTCTTTTAAAATCGTTATCAAATAGCTTCGAAGAAAATTAAATACCTGGTACAACTTGAGCCGGGGTGAACATCTTTAACTCAGGGATAACTGTGGAGCGAATGAGACACAGGGTTATTAGAATCTTACTTGTACCTATTCAACTGTCAATCTCTAATATTAGACAAGACTTCTGAGTGGCTGGTGGTTGTGTAGGCGGGGAAGTCTAATAAGGCTGACGTATTAGTTACAACCACGAGGATCGGGCTGCGATGTCTGTTGGTCACTCTTCAATAACAATGTCCCAAAAATTAGATCTTCCTAACTTAAAAGCGCTCTAAAAATGGCGGGGGCATCTTGAATCATTCGCAAAAGGCGCTATATGTTTCTAACCTACCCGTGACGGTGATCCTGCTTTCCTGTTGCGTGAGTCGACGATTCTCACTGGTTGCTCGATGCGTTCAGAATGAACGAACGAATAACATAATGAGCGGTTTTCAACATCCTCTTGGATATTCTAAGTACTGCAAATTACGCCATTCAGCGTATTTATGACGCACTGTTTTCTCACGTGCGAGTTGCGTTAGCCAATCGCACGGCGAGGAGTGTGACCATTGACGTCAGTAGGATGACTCGGTTCTATTTATACATTTACTCAAGCCAATATGTACGTCCTAGTCGTGTTTCAGCACATTTTGCGACCAGACACTTACCTTGTCCATTACTTGTCAAAGACAGTAAAATTGTCATGGAGTAAATTTACTTTTTGTGTTTCTCAACCCTCAAAATAATCTCAACTTTGTTGACTAATGCTGGCCCTGGTCGCGTGACTATTTTTTAATGAATTCAATAGCCGCCTATGGTAATTTATTCAGCTAATTTATGCTCGCAAGCTCGCATAATTTTCTAGTTCGCCGACAGCTGTTCAAGTCACTTACCTTCAAAGAGCTCCTCAAAAGCGACATCGACTGGACTGGAAGGGCTGCTGTCTTGAACCATTTTCGTCAAACAGACTCACTGAAAGCAGAACCGAGCTAAGTGTCATTAAACTGCTAAGAGAAACCTCGGGGATCGGAAGACGAATTAATTGCGTTACTTAAGTAATTAATTACCACACGAAATTTGTGTGACGTTTGTTAGCCTGAATTTAGATTTATTTATCGACAAAAATAGGTAGTTTGCTTTTGAAAATTTAATGTCGACATCTGTGCCAGCATTTTTGATAAGTTTATTTTTTGTCAACTTTTATAAACGTCAGTGACCGGGAAAAAAAAAATATATATATAACATTTCAGGTTTAACCAGACGTGACTCGGTCCCGGATGCCTTTCCGGTGAAGCTCTTTTCTGAGAAAAGGGGGAACGGTTTCGAGGCAATCCCATTTTGGATCTGCAATACTACATGTGCCAAAAATACATTACAGTTGAGTAACGCTGTATGCAAAGTTTTCTATCTGTGGCTTGAGGTAGTATATTACTCAGAGCGCTGTATCCGGACGCTATCTTAGATTTTTAATAAAAGTACTTCCTGCGATGTTCAGAACGCGTCCGGGCTTTAAGATAATTCCACTATACACTGTTAACGAGACTGTACCGTTAACAATTTCTCTACAGAATAGTGTTGGCCGAGTGGTAGCTCATAGCAACTATGATCACAAACCGATACCTTCCTTAATTTTGTTCATAGATTGAATTAATGCTAATTGTTGCGCTACGCGGAAGTCGCGCGAGGAGATTCACGCAACGCGCGATGAGCATTGTTTAAAAAAAAACAAAATAAAAAACAAAAAAAACAATAAGTGGCTCCCTCGAGGGTTCCTAATCATACTGTATAAAACTAGCCGCCCGGAGGCCCACACGAAAAAAAAAAAGTTCTGCCTCCGCATATTAAATATTCAACACAAAGTTTAGTTTTACATAGCTCAGCTGTAGCTGCGACGCTTACTTAAAAATCCCCCACTTGTCTCGACTTACGCTATACACAACCACACATGTTTTATTAACGTCAGCCCCGGCCCACTCATTCCCGCGATTGAAGTACCAGCTGAAGTTTTTGTTTTGTTCCTAAGGACTTGAAAACAGCACAGCAATGGAATAAAAGCACGTTTCTTTCTCTAAGTCGTATTTTATCGATAGTAGGAAACAGTTTTTTGCCTTTGTAAGAAAAATAAAATTCTTTGGTTTACCAGCCTTAGTGCGCATGGCACTTACCTGGCGGAGGAAGTGTGAGTCGATTGCTAAAGTTCTTCTTAAGTGATGGAACTGGAAAAATTTCCTTCGTGAAAATGCCGAGGTCAGGATTCGGCAGCAGTTGTGTTTCGGAGCTTTCTTCCTTTCTGAATTCCTGGACTTAAATTTGTCTTAAAAAGGTCTTCGTTGACTGCAAGCGACGAGCGCCGTTGATGGTAATCTCGTTGACTTTGCTGTGATGTTGCCCCAGTGCAGGCACGTTGTAATTAAGCTCATTTGATATCCTCTTTTAAAAACATTTCATTCATTTGTGATTATAATATGATGCAAAGCGCAACCACCACTGGTTGTTATGACATCCGGCAATCCAACTTGTCAATGGATTATGACGTCAAATGGACGAGGGCAAGTCTTTCATTCAGAACCTCACTGTATATGTAAAGTCCGCTCGATGGCTCTTCAGCACTCGTAAAATCATGTGTCGAATCTTTCCCACAGTGATGGCACACGTTCAGTTAAATCGCACTCAATATTTAATGCTTTTTGTCCCGAGATCTACAAAATAATTACAAGAATTGCCGGGTTTAGCGGTGTACGTGAGAGGCCCTTTATGCAAATTGGCTAGCTGTCACGCCAAATGTACGGTGTTATCGTGTTCTGAAGAAGATTGTGTTGTTAAGCCAGTCGATGGCAATCAAACCGGTCGGTCGCTGCTCCTTGATGTAATATGCACTCTGTTCGACCACGTGCGTTCGTGCAAAATCGCAGGGCCCAGGCTGAAGTAAAATAGCTCTTTGAAGATACATAGCTTGACAAGAATTTAAATCCCCTGAAATGAAATTTAAACAATGGAATTTGCACGCTTAGTTGCATCTAAAGTATGTGAGCGAAAACGCTTACGAGAAATCGACTAAATCGACGATGTTTAGAGTTTATTTTTATAATTTTTTCCTCTGAAGTCTGTAAAACGTCTTATCTCGGCTTTTGACTGATTCCAATCAAGTGCTCGAAGATCTGTGTAAATTGTTCTTCCTTAATGTTGGATTCCACTGGCCCGAAAAAATCAGTAAAGAGATAAGATAGCTCGAACCTCATTTTTAAACAGAAAATCTGAAAAATTGCGTTGCAAGTCGTTTCTAAACTCCCTGAATTGCCCGTGATTTGGTTAGCAGACGATGTGGTATCTTGCTTGTTAATTGTGCTTGTCGTCACGGATGACGTTAATATGCCATCTGAGTGGGCGGCTGCGAAATTCCCGCCAAAATGAAGCCTGTTATTGATGAAGTTAAGACTTCAAATTGAGAAATGCAGGGAAATGGGTCTGTTTTATTGGAACAGTTCTTGCGCTGTACAAAATAGCACGAATTAAAGAGAGCCAACCCGTTTTGATTGACATTACAAAATAAGATTGCAGTCGAGTGATTTTCCTTCCCATCCCATTTCCTTTGCATTGTACTCTCTGTGTTCATCAGGTTCCCTAAAAGGAAGCCGTCTAAACGTCAGTACCGTCTGTCTAGTGTAATGTCGTATGTCAATGATTACGTATGTTGAATCGAACTTTGGCCCAGTACGTGAAACCAAAACTTGTCGCATTCCCAGAAATACCTTTATTACAAACAGCTTCAAAAATATACCCCATTGCGGAAGAAGTATGAAAGAGACAGCCAATTCAGTGATTCATTTGACCTTGTAGTACATGCACGGGGCACCAAGGAGCTATTTTAGCTAACAATATAGTCTAGCCTATTGATGCTGTCGTATGTCTAATGAAGACGACACTCTTAACTAAGAATGTATTCTAGCCTATTGATACCTTTACTACAAACGTAAACAGCTTCAAAAATATCTCTCGTTGCGGAAAAAGTACAAAAGTGGCAGCTAATTCAGTGATTTATTTGAACTAGTGGTACTTGCACGGGGCACCAAAGAGCTATTTTAGCTAAGAATGTAGTCTAGCCTATTGATGCTGTCGTATTTTTATGTACACCCTGTGAATCTTAAAAAAAGGAGCCTTAGGATATTCTTAACTTGGATCAAGACATGAATTCTCTCTTCTTTTCTTTAATTAAAATCACAGATTCTCTGTCTAATTAGCATTGCACTGTTACTAGTGATATCGAGCACTGTTTTTGTTAACACGTCTGCCGTTATGTGATCACTGAAATTGGTGGTCACTGAAATAATGTGATTTACAAAAGCAGTACCCCTCACCTATTTCATATGAGAATTGAGGTTTTGTCGCTAGACTTCAAAAATGATAAACGGTGATGTTTCTTAACAACCAGAATAATAGCTGAAGGGCATTTAAAAAGTTCCTGTTATAAACAGCAGAATTTCCCACGGTCAGTAAATTCTTGCAGAATCGCAATTTTCACTTTTGAACACGTCGTATAATTTTCAAGAGTTGTTCTTCTGCTTCCTTTGGTTTTCAGATATTAGAGAATACGGACTTTCGCTCACGTAACTGCAAATTGCAAAAATTCCTCGAGCTACCTCAAGTATATCTAAGTAAAACTACTTTTTCGAAATTCCGTGTAACAATGCAGTCAAAAATAACAATTTAGGACGTTGAAATGTTTTCTTACCTCTAGCTTCTGTGCGGTTAACTCGGCTTTTTTTTTATTTGTTCAAGTAAACCGGCTCTTGTAACTCAAGAGCTAGTTATTGCAGTAGTTTAAAAGCAATATCATCGGGTTTTTGGCAAAACGTGAGCGTTGAAAACGAACATGAGCGATTCAATACAACTGGTGTAGTCTTCAGTATGTCAGGTTATCGTTTTCGTTTTGAATTCTCAGCTTTTCTGAACTAATGTAATAGCTGCAGTGGTAGTCGCGAGAAATCACTGTTTTTGCAGTCTTTCGTGATGTTGGTTATTTTGATATTTAATAGTCCTGTAACTGACTCCTGCGTAGGAGTATTATGTTGTTGACAGCGCGCGGCAACAGTCGGCAACCGAGAACCGAAATCAATAGTACCATCATAACGGGCCACGCTTAACTGCCTCAAAACAATCAAACTTGACTGTTGACCTTCAAAGTTCTCAGCTTACAGAATATTCAACGGCCCACTCAACTGCGTCAAGACTTACGTTACGTACTTCATTTGCTTGAATTTTTGCTCTAAGCAAAATAGCCTTCATTTTAACTGATAGCGTTTCTCGCATGGTAGAGTGTGGGTGGAACAAAAGACTTGTTCGTGATTTCCCTCTATGTTAATCTTTAAACTGAACCAAATGGCTGCAGAGCTCTTCATAGGAGCGGACAGTATGGTACCGGAGAGCTATTTGCATAAATTAATTCATGACACATATTCTGAAATTTTAATTTTTTTCTTATAATACCAAGTAAGACCTCGGGAAAACATGCAGATTTTCGTGAATAAAGGCCTTACAAGTCATCTGACTGTTATGAACCTAAAAGAAATAATTTCTCTAGAAGAGTCTGACTTGAAGCAGTTTTCTGCTCGGTATACATGACTGATTTCAAGATGGAGTCCAACAATTCACTCATCTTGCTTACAAAAATAGAAAATAAAATTCTTCATCCAGAAGTTATCGTGATAATCACAGTTCAGTAGAGTTTGACTGCTCTTAAATATATAAAACGTTTAGTAAATTGCCTTAATGGGAAGGTTTTCTTGTGTCCAAGAAAGTAACACCGATGTCACACATGCACTTTTATACGCATCTCAATGCGGTCTTGTTTGTAAAGCTGGACAGCCCCAAGAGAATCAATACATTAAATACAATTAAATTGACTGCTCAGGAACAGCAAAAAGAGGCTAGGCACTTTAGCCGTTGTGAAAAGCCCACTTCTCGGTCAAACTGTCTGCGGAAACGTTTGTTTGATCTTCGTTAAGACTGAATTAATTAACAGTTCAACACCAATGTTGACTAATTTTTCCCGGCGAACATCTAATAGCAGTCAGCTAACAGTCACTGGATTTGTACTCTTGTGTCGATCTTTATTGCATGCTGGAGTATAGTCTTAAAATGAGAATGATTTCCCATTTCCCGAAAAGGTACCGGACGAGACTGGTCTGTATTCCGAACCTTATCATAGCTATCAGTCGGTAGCTGAGGAATTTATTTAGAGGCCAATTTTCTGTTGTTTGTGCGCATTTAACTGCTTCACTGTTATAGAAAGGAAGGAACTAGAGGATCAATTCAGATCGATTTTTAACCGGAATGGTCAAAGCAAGATTAGAGGAGTGTCCAACTCTCGACAACATTTAGCTTTCGACGGTTGAAATCTAGCCCCAACATAGCACGTAATTATAAGTTTTCGTGAATATCGAAACTTTATGCTAGTTTAAAGCAATTGCAGCGTCCTTTAGCTTTTGCTGTCTTGGGAAATACAAAATTCCGTGCCCCAACCCCACGTGGGGACAAAACGTACACCAGACGAGGCCACGTGACATTTAAATTATTCCCGCCTCCGGATATCCTATATACTGTAAATGTACACAGTTAAAGAGCAATTGTTTGCCTTGCTCGTAGAAATATTATATAATTATATTATATTAAAGATATTTTGATATTTGAAGACTGATTGGATGTTGACGACCTTCAATGAACTTGGCTTTGTCTTAAGTGTTTCCATTACAACGCTGCTGCAGAACTGAGAAATTAGTGATAAAGTTGTCACTCGTCGTTCTCGCAGACCAGGTCGAAACAGTTAGTAGCAATGCAGTGCAATTTTAGTTTATCCTTCGCTAAGAGTCTCTATCACGCGTGTAAACCGATGCAGTCACCGGATAGTGAATGCTCGCGCACATCCGTCTCAGCCCGTTGTCTTTGATTAATCCTTGCCGTTTTTGAACCTGGTGCAGAGACTGTCACGTTTGTTGTATTCGACATTTTAACGAGATTGGTAGTCCGAATCTTGTTAGTATACTGTTTCCTTCAGCAGACACAGTACCTCACGCATCATCAACACAAACAGTCGCTGTTGCGCACAGGCTTATTTATTTGCACAGGTTTAAATCAGAGACTTGTGGAAATGTCAATTGAGCTCTGCTCCCACATCTTTACGCACCTTGTTCGCATTATTATACAGAATTTCTCTAATTTCGATGGAGTGGGAGTGGTATTTCCTCTTTGTGTCTTGTAGAGATACCATTTCAAGCAAGGTCTTCGGGCCTTTCAGCTTTACCCTTACGTCTTGCAAAAGGAAAAGGCTATTTCCTCGGTTCGCAGACGCAGCAATAACTTACCGCTTCCCCTGGTATAATAAGCTGATCTCGTGGGAAATGCAGACCTCTATGAGTGCTTGGTCTCCGCTAACTCATGGCGCTCCTAACTATGGTAAAGGCTTGCACGATCCAATACTTGCCTGCACAGCTTTCAACCCCGTGTGATTGACCCGGAATTCTTACCACTTTTCAATAACGAGCATGACTGACAGCTGTGGTTACCATGACGATAAAACAGAGTCGTTTTTTCCGTGTTTGCGGTAGCACGCGCCTTTAAATGATTCGAACATTTGCTCTTTTCCATTTTTTCAGAGAATCTTTTAAAAGTTCTCCTGTTTTACCTGGTCCACAGGAGGCCTGTTGTCTGGGAGTGGCGCGGAAAAGTTTTTTTCTGAAGTAGTCTACAATAAGAAAGAAGTATGGACTTTTATTCACCTTTATTTCCATGTTTTTTAAATCAAAGTCCGTTCAGTGACTGTATGTAAATACACCAAATGAATATTCATTAAGTCACTTTGGATTGTTCACTAGCAGAGATGTAAAGTTAATTGTAGTAAGTCTTGTGTCTGGCATTTGCATGACTGAGTTCTGCCGGTTTAGTGTGCGTAAATCTCTTTTTGTTGAAGATATCATTTGGAAACAGCAAAAGGACTGGTCTTTGTCAATATTCATAAATAACCCTTTCGAAGCAGGTGATAATGAAACCATGGTCAGATACCTGACGGATTAATGGTGTATTAGTTGAAATTAAGTGTAGTACTCCTCTAGATTTGACGTCAAACATTTTTGGAATTTAACCTCATCTGACCGAAATGGCACTGGAAGTGGCTGATCAATGGTCTAACGAGGCTGGTGTACGTATCTCAATCGCTGAAAAGTCACGTTTTGTACGGTGGTGATTGAATATTAATATGCAAATCATGTTGCTAAAATCGTCAAATTCGGCAAGGGGTGAATACGCCTGGTCGTGTGGATTTGCGTGAAAGAGCTGCTTTCGGGAAACATACTTTAATTCTGTTGTACTCAAAATGCACGATAGTTGTGTGATTTCGACCGTTTGGACGCGTGCAGTTGTGAGGAACAGCTCGGTACACCTCGATTTATGGTTTGATTCATCTCTGGTTTTGGTTGGAGGTTAAGTTTTTGCCTCCAGCGACGTGACTCCACGAATAACGTCGACACAAAATATTTGCCAAAAATTCAACTTGCTTGTTTTACGAGATTGAATGAAAAAGAAAAAGATAACTAAAAGATAAAACATAGTATTTGCAAATCTGCAATATTATATGGTCGTTAGACTGATGCTTAAGTAAATAACGCCCGATATCGAAAATTGTCATAAGAATATTAAATATTCAGTGGTATCGGCTGCAGGGATCAGTGACAAGTAGTGTATTCCGCGGCATGGTGTTTTTGTATTGCCTCTATGTTTTAAGTGCTCATATCTGCACGTATCAAAGCAGTCGAAAGAATTAAGCACGTTATTTGCTGTTATTCGACAGGGCAAGAGATGCATTACGTAATGAAAGGGACATTTTCCTGTGCAAGCACGTCATTTGAATTATGCAATTACTCCAAAGCCTTTGATATCGAGCATGAAAACAGATCGTGTTGGAGTGAACAGGTTCAGTTGTGGTTATAAGTGCTTTTGCAATTCAAAACGTTATACCTGAATGGCCATTAAAAAGTGCTTTGCATATCAATAACTTTAAAGGGCTCTTAATGCCCCTCTTTAAAATCACCGTTCATATGCAAATGCATTTGATTTGGTACGCGAAGTAAACTCACGAAAAGAAGTACAATTTCTTTTATATAAACTAAGCCGTTCTCTGATGTTCAAGTGTTGAAGTTCTTTTATTTGTAAATGGCTATTTTTTTCTGTGTCCTCTTCGACGTCAAATATGCGTCACTACCACGTCAATATAACCTTGTTGACGTGGATTATACTCACTGCTAACATGGGCTTGGACAAAGCATCTACATAAGCTGTATTTTTAGCACCTAGTCTACTGCTTTCCACTGCAGGAATGGCTTGGTTCCTTTAAATATAACAAGCAATACATTGTTTAAAGTACTATGCATTCGTCCTTGAGGTGTATATATGAAGCAGAACGTGAAACAATTCTGTGCATGTCGTTAAATAAATATCCAACGTTGTCAGGTTTTTTAAATCAAGTATCACTTCTCTTGTTTCAATCATATGTTTACTACATGCAGAAGCAGGTTGGGCTAAACAAGACATTGATCAAATACGTGATCAAATACAGAAAAACAACTTCTTAAATTCATTATGGTAGACGAAATTTTCCTGTTTCTGCTCAGACGACTTTGCGGAATTGCAATTAAAATACAATTGTATTAAATTAGTTCAATAAATGACTCATGACAATATTCCTGTGGTGTTAATAGCCAAGGGGCATGAAAAAGTTCCTGTTTCAGGCGATGTTTGTTGATAAGAAATGCGATATACCATTAACATAATAAAGATGTCTCGATGAGAGATGAAGTAGTAATAGCTTTTAAAATTTAAAGTCCATTATGCCATCTAACCTTGTAATGTTGTGCAATTGTGCGTAAGGAAACAACGAACACAGCCTTTTCGAATTGGGCCCTTTTTCGAGTCACTTTGTACTTGAATTTGGACGTTTTTGTAGCCAGAATTTAAGCAAAGTTTAGCAACTCTTGCAGCAGACGTTCCCGGTTTTATTCATGGTTGTGGAATTTGAAAATCTTTTAGAACATAACAACTTAAAAGACATGTCTGACGTTATTGTTCGCCTGGAAATTGACTGCTAGGAGAGAACAAAGGAACAGCAAAATTTTCCGCTTTGTATACAAAAGATGTTTTGAACTCACTTTCCACCACAATTGGCACAATACTTACAGCTTGAGGCAACGAAAAGTTCCGGTTTGCTTCTTTGTTCTTAGTGATGCTCCACCGCACTTGGAAATGTATATTTAAAGGGCCGAAAATGATCACCTGATATCGGCCTTGTCCTTACTCTTTAGACTTGCAACTCAAGCATTTTAATTCTCCTTTTAACTAGTTATTCATCGTCCACCCTTTGCTCCAGCTGTTATATTTTACTATTATTTGACGTAAATTATACAGTAAGAATGTGTTTCTAATGTGAGTTCAGCAGGAAAACATATACGTAATGTCTGGTGATTCATAGCAACAGCACGGAAAGATGCGAGGTCAATATCAAATGCATGGCAGAAATGATTGCAATCCCAAACAATGGCTATGATCACTATTTTTCTTGGAATGGTTAGGGATGTAATCTAATTTTCATTATCGTTGAATAATATCATGTGTTTTTATGTTATTTATTTTGTTTCGTTGTACCAAACTGGATGTTCTCCCGAACTACTTTAATTACATTGAGCTGGCTAAATACAAAGTACTCCTGATCGAGGGCAGTTAGAATCATTCGTACCCAGCATTGAATTGCACTCAATTTTGTCTCCCTTATCTTGTTTTCAATTTTGCGAGAAAAATATCAAGGTAACTGCGATGCTTTAAAAGATAAATGAGATACAAACACTTAGCTGCGCAAATTCTGAGTTTGCTTGTGAACTGAAATATCTCGAACGCGTATATCTTTGTATCCCTCAATAACCACTTGTCCCTTGTTTTACATTAGTGACTGTCCTTCTCACTCTTTTGCCCTTTGTAAGATGTTCAAGAAAAAAAAGGACAAAAACAAAAACAACAAATCCATTAGGCAAGTGAAACAATGCAATCCACCCACTCCTCCCCCAATTGGGTTTTATTTCAATCGTGAGGCTTAGGAAGGAGGGGGTACGTGGTAATGTGACGAAACAAGCCAAAAAATTAAATGCTGCAGTATATGCTGTACTTGTATTTTCTCATTAATTGCGTCGAGAAATAGCTCGAGTGTTTCGTGTAAATTTTACTTACCTTTTCTTCAAGATAGTGGGTGCGTTGCCTGAAGTCTTTCGTCGCAGCTTTATTTAATACAGAGAAATACATTTCTTGGATTCAGGCAAACACTTGTAAAATTCGTGAGTCTGATAGTTGATGTAAATGTCGCATATCTACCATGTGAATGAGAACGTCGTTGCACCTTTTATTAGCATTCCTTTGCCTTCTGTGTGACTTTTCCAGCTTGGTGTCGGAAAAGTCTTTACATTTGTTCGGCAGTGATTCTTACGCGCCATCAAAGGTAAAAAAAGACGTTAAATGAGGATACGGCATCAAAATTCCACCAGTTCCAAAGCAAGATTATAAACTCTGCTTGAAAGAGTAGAATCGACCAGTTGTGATGAGAAAGTACACGTGCACCCTCAGACGAATAGGTCAGAGAGATCCTATTTCCGTTGCCTTGATCATCGTAATAAACTTATCTCCGTACGTTGTCGCTTTTAAGGTGTTCTATTCNTAAGCAAAATAGCCTTCATTTTAACTGATAGCGTTTCTCGCATGGTAGAGTGTGGGTGGAACAAAAGACTTGTTCGTGATTTCCCTCTATGTTAATCTTTAAACTGAACCAAATGGCTGCAGAGCTCTTCATAGGAGCGGACAGTATGGTACCGGAGAGCTATTTGCATAAATTAATTCATGACACATATTCTGAAATTTTAATTTTTTTCTTATAATACCAAGTAAGACCTCGGGAAAACATGCAGATTTTCGTGAATAAAGGCCTTACAAGTCATCTGACTGTTATGAACCTAAAAGAAATAATTTCTCTAGAAGAGTCTGACTTGAAGCAGTTTTCTGCTCGGTATACATGACTGATTTCAAGATGGAGTCCAACAATTCACTCATCTTGCTTACAAAAATAGAAAATAAAATTCTTCATCCAGAAGTTATCGTGATAATCACAGTTCAGTAGAGTTTGACTGCTCTTAAATATATAAAACGTTTAGTAAATTGCCTTAATGGGAAGGTTTTCTTGTGTCCAAGAAAGTAACACCGATGTCACACATGCACTTTTATACGCATCTCAATGCGGTCTTGTTTGTAAAGCTGGACAGCCCCAAGAGAATCAATACATTAAATACAATTAAATTGACTGCTCAGGAACAGCAAAAAGAGGCTAGGCACTTTAGCCGTTGTGAAAAGCCCACTTCTCGGTCAAACTGTCTGCGGAAACGTTTGTTTGATCTTCGTTAAGACTGAATTAATTAACAGTTCAACACCAATGTTGACTAATTTTTCCCGGCGAACATCTAATAGCAGTCAGCTAACAGTCACTGGATTTGTACTCTTGTGTCGATCTTTATTGCATGCTGGAGTATAGTCTTAAAATGAGAATGATTTCCCATTTCCCGAAAAGGTACCGGACGAGACTGGTCTGTATTCCGAACCTTATCATAGCTATCAGTCGGTAGCTGAGGAATTTATTTAGAGGCCAATTTTCTGTTGTTTGTGCGCATTTAACTGCTTCACTGTTATAGAAAGGAAGGAACTAGAGGATCAATTCAGATCGATTTTTAACCGGAATGGTCAAAGCAAGATTAGAGGAGTGTCCAACTCTCGACAACATTTAGCTTTCGACGGTTGAAATCTAGCCCCAACATAGCACGTAATTATAAGTTTTCGTGAATATCGAAACTTTATGCTAGTTTAAAGCAATTGCAGCGTCCTTTAGCTTTTGCTGTCTTGGGAAATACAAAATTCCGTGCCCCAACCCCACGTGGGGACAAAACGTACACCAGACGAGGCCACGTGACATTTAAATTATTCCCGCCTCTGGATATCCTATATACTGTAAATGTACACAGTTAAAGAGCAATTGTTTGCCTTGCTCGTAGAAATATTATATAATTATATTATATTAAAGATATTTTGATATTTGAAGACTGATTGGATGTTGACGACCTTCAATGAACTTGGCTTTGTCTTAAGTGTTTCCATTACAACGCTGCTGCAGAACTGAGAAATTAGTGATAAAGTTGTCACTCGTCGTTCTCGCAGACCAGGTCGAAACAGTTAGTAGCAATGCAGTGCAATTTTAGTTTATCCTTCGCTAAGAGTCTCTATCACGCGTGTAAACCGATGCAGTCACCGGATAGTGAATGCTCGCGCACATCCGTCTCAGCCCGTTGTCTTTGATTAATCCTTGCCGTTTTTGAACCTGGTGCAGAGACTGTCACGTTTGTTGTATTCGACATTTTAACGAGATTGGTAGTCCGAATCTTGTTAGTATACTGTTTCCTTCAGCAGACACAGTACCTCACGCATCATCAACACAAACAGTCGCTGTTGCGCACAGGCTTATTTATTTGC